TTGGATCCGATCATCGTGTGTGATCACTGTCACTTGTATTTTGGATCCATGATGCTATCGAGACTATCATCTCCACCATTTCTCATCACAACCAACCAAAATCAATCTCTACATGAAGAAGAAGAAACTGTTGTTTATTCCCATTCCATACATAACGTGTTTACTCAACATTTGGGTGCCACAACAAAGAATAGGCACAAAGACAACCACGGCCTCAAATTGTCATCACAAATCCATATTACGACAAAGTGTCAGATACTGGACTCGCTGCAGCTGACACGGTTCTCCGCCTCTTGGAGCCACTCTTCAAATTTAGCCTCTCGTTCAGATTTGAACTTATCATAGTCGTCCAACACGGTCGACGTGTCAGGAACGTACAAGCTCTCGTCATCCAAAAGTTGGCTTGACAAAGGTAATTCGTCACCATCCGTATCTGTGGTGGCGGGAGTAACCGAGCCAACTGCTTGTGGCGGGGTTACAGATGACAACGGGTTGCCACTCTTGGGGTCTTCCATCATCGAATTTGTCTGGGACCATCTGAGCCCACCCGCTTTCCACTTTGTGGACTTGAAAACAGCTGACAGATAACTGCTGCGACTGCTTCCTTCGCGCGGGGCAGTCATGATGCTGCGACCGGATGTATCCTCCTGACCACCCCAACTTGGGTTGCGGATTACACTGTGTTAACATGTAGAAACTCTCAGAGTGGAGTACCAGATAAATATTCCTCCATCTAAATCATATCTTATCACCATCTCTATCCAACAGAAAGAAGTGCTACAAGACTTTTGGAAAACAAAAAAGAACTTCCATGTTGCGTTCCATATGTCGAGGCATTCTCCAGGGTAATAATATTGTAAAATTCATACCATCAAAATGAAGCCTGAGGATTCCATGCATGATCAACTTAGCATCCATCAAAATGCTTCACTGCTTAAAGGCTTCAACGTCACGAGGTGAAGGATTATATGATGGTCCAAAGGATCGCTTATATCACCGATTCCAATGGCCTCAAGTTAACCATGGCAGGCAATAAAGATATATTTATACTGAACGATGAAAGAGCTACAAAAAAGCATCTTCCCTGGAATGGTCATTGTTGAATTATGAGGAAGATGTCTCTCTCCACAAAAACAGACCACATGTTTTACAGAGTGCAAAGATAAGCAGAGGAGTATGGAAAGGAGGAAGAGAAGAGAGAGGCAAAGGAATGAAGAAGGAGATGGGGTTAAGATATTTGTAATCATTAAAAGAAGGATATATTCATCATTGGATTTCAGTGAAACATTCAAATGTTCAAAAGGAGTACACTAAGAGGGGTACTTTCATCAATCAATTTTCAACCAATATAATAAGAGGAATACTTTCAGGAGTTTATCACAACGGGAAAGATGCTATAACTTTGGAAAACATAGGTACAGCATGTAATTTCCAAGAAGCAAGGGTTTAAATTATAATTTTGAAAAACATAGGGTGCAAATGATTTTTGTCCAGACCAGATATTATTGTGCTTCATCCCTACCTCCCCAGTATCTTTATCTATTTTTTTCAAATGAGTTTTCCATGTTTGGTCATTCAATGTAGCTTTCACTCTAAAAATCTACATATCATATGATTGTTATAAACAAAATATTTTCCTTTTTAAGTATAAATTTCCCTTGAACAAGATTAGTTTACTGTCTCTATTAGGTTGTTTTTTGGTCTTTCCTGTGTGGTTCTTGCCTTAAATCTTTATATATCCATTGCAAATATATTCCTTTATAGTTGAGTCACTTATACGCCAACTAACCCATCGTCATACCAACTACAAAGACACATCAAAATATAAAGAAAAATGAGTTAATATCAAGTTGCAAGTATAAGAAGGTCATGAGTTTCTCTTTTTTCTTTTTTTTTTCTGCTATAACCTAGCTTATTTGGCGCTCCACCCTTCCTCATTATTCACATAAAAATTAGTTCCATAAAAATAAAAGCCTCTATTTTAGACCTGATTGGAGCAGGGTAAAAGCACCGTAAAGTCTGATACCCGATATTATTACTCCCCCATAAAAAGTTCCACAGAGGAGTTTGGTGCGGGTTCCATTGTCTTCTATGCTGCAGTTTTAAGCCAATACTACACATTGACATTATATTTGCAGGTGTAAAGCTACATGCATTGATCCTCTCCAAGCCCTACATAGATGGAAAGTTTTATGCAATTGGCTGCCATGTTAAGCTAATACCATAGAAGAATAAAAAAGATCTCTCCTTCTCGGCACAGTGATAATCTACTCTAAGTGGCAATGAAGATCTCAATCTCTGGGTCAATGGAAAAACTAAATCAGCTACTGGGTTGAACCAACTGGTGCCACTAGTGCAGTATTTTGGATAAATAAGATGGAATCAAGACTATTAATCTAATGAACTACTTTAAAGGATAAACCAATACAAGGTGAATTTCACCTGCAGAAAAGATCTGTGAGCAGAGTGTGACAACTACAATTAAATGGTTGGTATTTTATGGCAGCTGGTACTGACTCCATTTTTTTCTATATGTTTAGTCTAGACTGTCAGCCATTAGGTACTGAAGAAAAATAATTAGTAAACGTAAGGTCATTCAAGAAGATTGTTTAGCATATAATTTAACAGAACTTTCTATTCCTTACTCTGAAAAGATAGTTAAGGAGTCATACCCTCTCTTAGGTTGGGATGCTGACACGATGTGTAGTGATCTATTAATGTCCTTAATCATCTCATCAGCAATAGGAATACCATATTCTGCCATTGACCTGACTGAACAGATAGAATCCTCTATGTCCTCGGTGTGCAGGGTCACTTCATGAATCTTTTCCCCCACCTTGTCCTAAAATAAGAAAGTGATATTTAGTGATATTTTTTTTCCCAAAATGGTTAAAATTCTGAATATCCAAAGAGAACAGAGTTAGTGCAGACAGCAAATTCACATTATTGGAAAACAGAAAAGTTCTACAAGTAACACCTGACGAAAAAGTAAGATGACAATCACATGTTCGTTTGATTTGCTACAAGTAACAACAGGAAAGAAATCACAAGTAGAATAAGTGGTAAGACCAGTCGTCCAAATCAAAAGCAGTAACAAACTATACTATACAATTCGATGATGAAAGAACCAAATGAACGATGAAAACTGAAAGCCCCAATTATCAGTTCCTGCATATATAAGCACTCTTTTTTTTTTTTTTATCTCTGATCATCAGCGGACACAATAAGAGTTAGGGATCATAAAACAAGAAATCTCAATGGACAATTCATTGAGATTTCCAGATCTACGAAATATGCCAAAAACTTCCAAACTAGGGTTAGAGGAAATAGAGGAGAAGACGCATACCTTGAGGTTGAGGAGGTAGGGCATGGAGGTCTGGGCGTGCTGCTGGACGAAGAAGAGCCCCACGGAGGGCTCATTGGCTAAGAATTTGATCATGTCGTCCACCCCTTCCTTCACTGCTTGGCCCCCAAAGAAAAGAAACAAAGATCAATGAATCGAAAGAGGAACGTAAAGGAAAAAACCGGAATCGGCGGTGTGTGCGAGAGAGAGAGAGGAGGATGGCATGATGAATACCGTCCAAGAAGAAGCCATCGAACGTGGAGGATCCATGATGCATCTTGCCGTCGCCGGGGGAGAACGAGCGCTCATCACTGAGTTCGACGGGAGATAACGCGATCTGTATATAGATCTCTCTCCACAGGAAACGAGAGAGAGCGAGAGAGAGAGAGAGAGAGCGGTGACGGGATTTGGTCGGTGGGATGGGAGGACCGACCGATAGGCTAAAGAGGGGGTGAGGGAGAGAGATGGGGGCGAGAGAGCGAAGTTTGTCCTCGCGTGCAGCGATAGCGATCATCCGCGGAAGAAAAGAAAAAGGAAAACGAAGGTAGCGACAAGACAACAGCGCACGGTTGTTTGCATGCCCCACTGGTCGGGCCCACGCGCTGCCAACTGACTTGGCTCGTTGTCGTTCTTGTAACAGCCTCTCCTCGGAATCATAATTTCTTACGAGGGAAGGAAAAAATAAATAAAGAAGAAAGAATGAATTTCTTACGAGAGGCGGATTTTTTTAAAAATATTTTTTATTTTAAGTATGTTGTGAGTCATCATGAACAGACTAACAATTTTACTGAGTCGCTCGATAGTTGAACTGAATATAGTAGTATCATACTTATTAATTTATTTTTATAATTTATGATCATATATAAAATATTTTTTAAATTTTTTAATTAAATTAAATAAAATTATTTTTAAATAAATTTTATTTTATTTATTTTAATTTCAAATATTTTTTATATCTTATTAATTAATGGATCAAGTGAAAATAAATAATAATTATATAAAATTAGATAAGATATATAATATAATTAATTGAATTCTAAATATAGATATTGACAAAGTGAGCGTAATTATACTAATTATGTCTATAGGGTTCAAGATTTGGCACACAATTTCATTTCCTACATAAAATTCCTGCCTCCGTTGCATCATGTTGATGGTTCGGTTCAAATTATTTTGATTCGGTCTAGAATCGATCAACAATAAGAAACCAAAAAATTAAGATCAACGATTCAAAAAAAGTTAAAACATAGATAGAATTCATGATGAGGAAGTGGTTAGGACTTAGAACTCAGACTAATGACTATGGATTCAAGTCTTAGTACAACCGTTTAGTTTTTATCAATGAAAATCGATAATTCCAACTATCGGAAAAAACCACCTGAAACTAGTTTGGTTTCAATTCCATTTTCATCGAAACCAGAATCGCCGGTTCGAAACCATCCGTGTTTGGTTTCAATTCCATTTTCATTGAAACCAGAATCGCCGGTTCGAAACAATCCGTGATCAGGTACTCCTGTTGATAATGGTACTACTAGTTTTGCACTTTTCGGTATAATTAGAGAGCCGAGTCGATGAGATCAAATACTACCAAGAAAAAGTATTGTGGCATCACCCTCGACCAAATATTCTTGCAAATATAAACAATAGCCTTTAAACATACATACTAATGAGAAAAGCGTTTAAGTAACGCTTTGATTTAGACATGAACCCAACACAGTTTTATAGATTACATTAATACAAGTTCAAAACATGTGCCCAACCTACTTACTAATAGACTGTAGCTAAAGACTGAAAAAGATTGAGTGACGACACAAGTACTCATACCTGATATGTATTAATAAAGTCCGATGCAACAAAGCAAGAAGAAATTACAGAATTAACGCCTAAATTATCCTCAAACCAAACACCAAATAAACCAAAGTGCAAGATGGAAACTAGGGGAGCATTTAGAAACATTTCCTGTGGACGATAGCAGGACCAGACTCCTCGTATTCTGCCTTTGAGATCCACATCTGCAATGATGGCCGAACATCTTATTAAATTTTACCAATAATAATAAAAATACCATGAAAAAAAATATAGATTAGTTTGGTATCTTATTACCTGCTGGAATGTGCTCAACGAGGCCAAAATAGACCCACCGATCCATACACTATATTTCCTCTCGGGTGGAGCCACAACCTTTATCTTCATACTGCTAGGAGCTAATGCAGTGATTTCCTTGCTCATACGGTCAGCAATACCAGGGAACATGGTTGACCCACCACTCAGCACTATGTTCCCGTACAAATCTCTCCTGATATCAACATCACACTTCATGATGGAATTGTAGGTGGTCTCATGGATACCTGCCGTTTCCATACCAATGAGAGAAGGTTGGAAGAGCACTTCCGGGCATCTGAAGCGCTCTGCCCCGATGGTGATGACCTGGCCATCAGGTAGTTCATAACTCTTTTCAACCGCTGAGCTAGTCCTAGCCGCCTCGAGTTCTTGCTCGTAGTCAAGTGCCACGTAAGCAAGTTTCTCCTTGATGTCACGAACAATTTCACGCTCAGCACTGGTTGTGAAGGAGTATCCTCTTTCTGTCAGAATCTTCATAAGGGAATCTGTCAGGTCTCTTCCAGCAAGGTCAAGACGCAGGATCGCATGAGGAAGTGCATATCCCTCATAGATTGGGACAGTGTGACTAACCCCATCACCGGAATCCAACACAATACCTGAGCAGATGAGAACAAGTGGATTAGTTTTCAAGTGCATCTCCTTGCATAATCACATTCTATAACAGGGACACAGTTGCAAATTATGTACTTTGCATGCTTGGTGCTAATATCCAAATAATTGAACTGTTACTCTGACAATTGCTAACATTTATCCCTCTTAAAGGTGGACTAACAAATAAATAATTCGAGAAGATTAAAACTGAATGCAGCTATGGGTCAAAGTATAATAGAAGAACCACGGGATTCTGACAATTATAGAGGAAAAGGAAGAATTTAGATAACAGCAATTTATCAGAGAATTTTGGACGCCACGTAAACAATCAAATATTACATTCCAATAACAGAGAAGACAACCAATATAAAACAATAAGATAGATAAGGATATTCAAAAATAGTAATTGCTTAGGCATCAAGGTAAATATGATTATCCTTTCTAGGGCAGGACACAAAAGGTAAAGGTAGTAACAAAAATCCATATCACTACTAGCAAGAATTTGTATAGATGTCCAATAACTGTAGACATCCTCATACATATTTTAGATGATCATCTTGCTATATACTTTATAGAGCTTGTTGTCATTGTTGTTCTTGTTTTTGTATACCCCCATATGCTTTCCATGCTGATGCTTTACCTATACTTGCCTACATAATGGAAGGAAACAAAACCTGATGATGTATGCATGTTAAACACAAGTTTCTAGAATATGTAACTTAGAATAAAGCCATGAGATCAAAAGATACTAGTCAGCATCCAAGACAAGTGCAAAAATACCTGTGGTACGTCCACTAGCATAAAGGGAGAGGACAGCCTGGATTGCAACATACATGGCAGGAACATCAAAAGTCTCAAACATGATCTGTGTCATCTTTTCCCTGTTCGCTTTGGGATTAAGTGGCGCTTCTGTGAGAAGAATTGGATGTTCTTCTGGAGCCACACGAAGCTCATTGTAGAAGGTATGATGCCAGATCTTTTCCATGTCATCCCAATTGCTAACAATTCCGTGTTCAATAGGGTACTTCAGAGTCAGGATACCTCGCTTGGACTGAGCCTCATCACCTACATATGCATCTTTCTGTCCCATTCCAACCATCACACCAGTATGTCGAGGTCGACCAACAATGCTTGGGAAAACAGCCCTGGGAGCATCATCTCCAGCAAAACCAGCCTATTGCAAGTGATAGAAGATACCATAGTGAAACATTAATGAATCATTACATATGACTTTCCACAAGCAACAACCAAGTATCACAACGAAAATATATGTTACCTTCACCATTCCTGTCCCATTATCGCAGACAAGAGGCTGGATGTCCTCAGCATCAGCCATTGCTTATGCTAACCTGTCAAAGGCATTTAGTGAGAAACTACAAGATTATCACTCGAATAATTAAGATCGAGCTATATGATCCAAAGCGAGTTGGCAGTGAAGGTCAGAACTAATGACAATCTATTTAAATGCAGCAGTAAACAAAAGAATATAAGACAATTCTCTGAAAATTTTGGATGAGGAAAAACATTTATATGTAGTTGAATTGAATATAACAAAGGGAAGACTCATGAATTTGTATAACCTTATGATGAAAGTTATTATATACTTAAAACAGTACCAATTTTCTCATGTAGAAAAGAGCTCTGATGCTCTGTCACTGGCATGACCAAAATGAATTGTCATAGGAAACCAGATCAGCTTCATTGTTCAAGAATAGCTAAAGGAAAAAAAGTTGCAATACAAGGAAAGGGAAAAAATGTAAAGATTCCAGAGATGAAAGATAGAAATATCATGTATGTTGAGTTTGAGAGTTATCCATCATCTTCGAGATCACAAAATTATAACTTCCATAACCAATGAACGCATGGATAGTAATGAATTGCATACATGATAGTTTCTTATTCCTCCCTAAAGTTCATATAATAAGTTGTAGTTCCTTCTCGTTTAGGATAGACTTCGTGAAACATGTGTTTCCATTCAATTCCACCGAAGGAGACATCACTATTTAATTTAAGAGACAATATATCCATTTTTTGAAATGATTGTGTCAGCTCATAATAAAAGAATTTTTTTCATCGATTAAGGTTCAAATAAATCCAAAAAAAGGAAATCCCTCAGCACTAACATAAGTTATAAATTCAGCATGTCCATCTCCGTGGTTACTGTGGAACAAAAGAAGAAAAATGAAGAACAAAAAAGAATCCCTAAATGATCCCACTACGAAATGAACAACACCGATCGGCGTAAGTAACATGAAATCTTTGCTTCCTAACCAATTCCTGATCTAACCCCCAAACAAAAACAACTCAAATAGTGACCTCAGTTATTGTAGACTCTTACGGAATACACTCCTTTATTTGAAACAGTGCATTTGTTCGAGTTCTAACAAACAGGATCATCATTTCCTACAACATCACTCCCAGTTCCACCGATCCGGCGATCCATCAGACTGCATATACCACAATATTTTTTTCTAGTTCTTTTGCAATCTCTAGAGCCCTTCTTCTACCAACAAATCAACTACGCGACTCAGAAGAAGACTTCGAACAGTCTCCACCAAGTTTCATGATGCTTCCATTTCTCGTTTATGACACCCACAGGCGATCTTTGCTCGATCGCCCAACACCGTCCAACTTAGAAGAGAAAAACGAGAAAGGGTCCGGCAACAACCAAGGCGAAATCATCCCGCGATCGGAGAAGAATAGGGAGGGGTTTTTTTACCTTTCGCGACGAAGAAGCAAGAAGATCGAGGAACCCTTCCTCCTCTGGCCTCGCTCTCGAACCACCACCAAGAGCAGAAACCCGAGGAATCAGCGAGGGCGCAGTGATGGTGGTGTTGGTTATAAGGACAATGAAAACTAGCACGAGCGTAGGTGGCGATCGGTGGTCCGGGATCACCTGTTTCTTTCCAGCCACCAGAGACGAAGGTAAAAGCATGAGTCTGTGTGGGACCCATTTTAATTCCCCAATGGCACAGCATCCTTAGGAGTTTGGTGGCTCGATCGAGACGGAAGAGCCCGACGCCAGCGACAAATCAGAACTCATGAGACCGGTGAGTGGGGATCCTCTCCAAATCGACTTGTACTTGGCACCCATCTCCAGTTGGATCCACGTGACGTGCCGACAGCAAAACCACTAGTCGCATGTGGGACCCATTCATAGACCCAATGGCAGAGACCTCTTACGAGTCCGGTGGCTCCTTCGAGACGGAAGATCCCGAATCCCGCAAGAGAACAGAACACCGGTGACCGGGGTCTTACGGTGGGTGGGTAGGGATCCTCTCCAACTAGGCTTGTACTTTGCACTGGACGGTGGGCCCATATACGCCGTCCACTTCTGTCCTCGCGGTCAGTGATGGGCGGTCGGATCCCCGTTGGATCCACGCAGCACCGGCGAGGCCTTTTTGAATTGTCTTGCGAGGAACACCAGAAAACAACAAGAGGGTGCATCGCTTTTTCGTTTGGTGTCGTCATCATTTATTATGGTTTTCTTGGTGCGGAAGGAAGTCGGGGGGGTGTGGGCGGTGCGGACGACCGAAAGAAGGAGACGGCCGCCCAGTTTTGATTCCATCCGCTTTCTCTCTCCTCCTCGTTTTTTTTGGGGGAAGGGAAGGGAAGGGAAAAGGGGGGATCCCCTGCAATCCTACCTCTAAGGAAGAGACACGACTGACGACATCTTGACCGTTCGCATCGGTGGGCGGCGAACCGACGAGAAGAATTGGTTGATGGTTTGAACGAGTCACGGTGGCTCGCGTCGCTCTAATGGGACCCACAAAAAGATTAAAAAGAAATTGGGGATTTAATTATGGCAAAAATTCCGTCATTTTTGCTTTGTATGTATTTTATCGCTATAATAAGTGATATGTATGTTTTTTCCCCCTCTCATTCGATCTAAAAACTTAAACCCATAGATGATACATAAAATAATACTGTACATCTCATGTACAGTAAGTATTAATTGGATTCTCAGTTAATTAAAAATAATGATTATATAATTTATCCCATTATGCTTGGAGTAAGGATTTGAACATATCATAGCATAATGTTACTTGATAAATACCATCGGATGCTTCAAATTTTCTTCTTTTTTTCTTTATCATGATCGAACTCATATAAAGGTTCCATTGATCTGAGTTGAATTAATTTGGATCGGACTCGATCGATTGACTCGGTTTCGTTATCGATTTTGATTAAAAAAAAATACACTCATCAAAATAGGTATTTATCATGGGGATAAAGCTTGCAAGTAAAACAATCATTATTTAACATATATTTTATAGGCTAAATTGAATTCGATCAATGTTAAGCAAAGACCAAAAATATGTTGGTACGAAAATTTACAAAAATTAACAAACATATGAATTTATGTAAATGCTACATTCTTCATGTTATGATTCACAAAATGGAGTAAAGTTACTACCAAATTATACATTCTTCATCTTATATTATCTTTCAACTTTCATGACTTATTAAAAATAAATACTTAAAGCAACTTCAATGGTCAAAATATTTTAGAAGTGGATAGCTTATAGCAAATAAATGTATGAAGTGATAGGTGAAATTAATAATAAGAAACTTGTTTATATATTTCTATTGTAAAAAAGAAAAATGTTCGGACGATCGTGCAAATGTTTAGATAAGATAAGGTGTGGTGTAACCTAAGCAACTCCGATAAGATTGGAGCAAACAATATTAAACGATCATGACTAAGATGCGTGCTTGAGCCTAAGCTTTAGGCGAAGGTCCCAACAACCATTGGCTCAAGCACATGCTTATGCTTAGGCATTGGGCTACTCATGCATACGCCTAACTTGAATTAAATCTGATCAGAGGTTTAACCAAGCATATAGGTATATGATAAACAACTCAATGTTATAATCTGAATAACTGACTTATTAATTTTATCAAGCCTCGTCGGTTGAAAATATCTAAGTTGAAATTAATAATAATATACTCATTAAATTCTTATAAGTCAATCTTAGTTTTAACTCGTTTACTAATCGAAAATTTATAATTTCTCAACTAAATAGCTTAACATCATTGTCTCGTATCAAACCTTAGCATAATGTTAACTTCGACTTAAGCATTTTGAGTTAATGGTTTAAACTAAACGAAATTGATAGATCAGTTATCCTATTATACTAGGTTATGATAATTATTATCATAGCTGATTTAGTATTAAGTTATAATAAATAACTCGAATAGAAAAGGATAATCCGTTGGGCTAAAGGATGTGCGACAATGTAGAGTCATAATTGAGCTAAGTTTCATGTACATTGTATTAGGATTTAATTCTGGACTATGTTAAACTTTTGATGATGGTGTTAAGTGTTATGAGAATATCTTTCAACTTAAGAATTGAATTGAATTGAATATAGTTGATAAGATAAATTATCTTAACATATAATAAAATAAAAATAAAGATATTATCATCAAAATAGGCTTTCTTTAGATAAAGATCACACTAAAACAAAAATATATTTATAGGAATATTTTACAAAAATAAAAAAATACGAATTCATGTGATTGCCATAGAAAAAAACAACATTAAACGTAAAATTAGTTACCAAATCATACTCACAACGTGAGCACTGTCAAGACGATTTGCTGTTTTCTATGATTCCTTCCATTTATGTTCTGTTAACAAGAAATATTTTAAGCAAAATCAAAGGTCAAAAAAAAAAAATCTAAAACTTGAGAGATTGTAGCAAATAAATACATCACGCAATCAAGTGATGGGTAAAATTCGGAATAAAAAGGTTACGTGTATTCCATGGTTAAAATTATAACATTATTTTTACTATTTATAATTTTACTTTAATTTTTTTTAATATTTTAAATTATTTTTTAATATAAATAGACGTAAATATCCTCTTCTCCTCCGTCCATTCCCTTGTATAGTCTCACTTGAGCTGACTTAAGTTGGATTGCGCTCGAGCCAATTCGACTCGAGCCACTCGAGTCAATTGGACTTGATGGCCCAAAACACCCCTGCAAACTATTTAATGATCATTTTGATTTCACATGCTTTCTGATCAATCTATTAATTGCAACTCAATCCATCGAACTGGCAAATGTGCAGATATCCGGTAAAAGGTCGTGACGGTGACTTACATTGAGGCCATCGCTCGTTTCAGATCGAAATGAGACTTCCGTGGCTCCAATAAAGTCGGATTACAGAGATCCATTCCCTGCAGCCCTAAATCGGCGATCCCCTTTCCTCTCCCTCCGCGTGCGAAGGCCGCCGGCGGTGCGCCTCTCCCCCCCTACCGGCCTTTCGGTGGTACGTGTCTCTCTCTCCTCCTCCGTCTACTCCTTCCCTCCTTTGTCGCGCCCCCCTCTTTCTCCTCTTCCCCTTTGCTTCTTTCCTCTCCTCCGCCGTGGCCCCCAACCGAGCCGCCCTCCCGCTTCTGCTTCCACATTTGTTCCTTCTATCCCCTCTCCTCCCCTGCCGCTGTTGCTCTCCCTCTCCCTGTTTCTCGTCGTCGTCCTCCTCCTCCTTCGCCGCCTCTTACCGAACCTCCCGGACGGCCCCCCTCCCCGTGGTCGCTCTCTGCTTCTTCCACCGACGACCTCGCTTCCTCTCCGGACAGAACCCCCTTCTCAGCTTCTTTCTCTTCCCAACAGCCCCCATCCGACCTCTTTTGAATTTAATGGTAATGTATATCATTGTTAATAATGGTTAAATTGTTAATACTATGACTGAATATTTTATTGCTGGTATTTTCAATTGTCACTTCTTTGTAGATGATTAAATGAATGTAATTCGATGTTTTGATGGTAATATTTCGAATATCAAATAGTATGAAACTTACGTATTTTTTAATTTTTATTTCAATAGTATTTTCTTCTTAATTATATGTGTATATTTATAATTTTTATATTGACGAGTGCCCGAGTTTGACAATGCCCGTTTTTGTCTCATATTTTCTTTTAAAGAGAAAAAAATACTCAATTGATTAGATATAAGGAGTCATAGAGTGTTTTTTAGATATACTGGTTTTGGCCTCATATATATATTTTTCAACAAAAAAAAAGAAGTCAGAGAGGGATAATGGTATTCTGATAAACAGTTTGAAGGAGCTTCCTATCCCTCCCTTTCCAAATTCTATAATCCATTTCTAATAGGCAACCAGTGTCCGTTTAACTAATGGTTACTAGCGGTTGGTGGAGATACAATCAACATAGTTGTATAATGCTTTTTTATCGGGTTGCTATCCTTATTTTGCTGTTTGTGAGCTAACTGATGTAGGCATATTGTTCATTCAGGAACTCCAGTTCCGTGGAAATAATCACTCCAAGGAATTGATGAATAATGCCAACACTTATAGCGGTAGCATTCGAGCAGCCTTCTCTTACTGTGTGCAACAAGTACGTAGTTATGATTACCACCATTACCTTTGCCTGCTTCACCTTCCCCCAGCCATGCGCAAGACTGCCTTTGCTCTCCGTGCCTTTAATGTTGAAACTGCAAGGGCTATGGATGTTGCATCTGATCCCAAAATTGGCCTCATGCGCCTCCTTTGGTGGCAAGACGCAATTGACAAAATATTTGCGAAAAAGAATGTTGAACACCCAACGGCTCAAGCTCTCTCGTCAGTTATATCAGAGCATAAGATCAGCAAGCACTGGTTGAAACGCTCAGTAGATGCCAGAATAAATGATGCAAGCAAAGAAGGGGGTGTCCTTCCTGAAACTATAGCAGATTTGGAGCAGTATGCAGAGGACACTACGTCAACCATGCTATACATGACCCTACAAGCTGGTGGAATTTGCTCAACTTCGGCTGACCATGCAGCCTCACATATTGGCAAAGCGAGTGGACTGCTTTTGCTGCTCAAATCCCTGCCTTACCATGCGAGTCGCCAAGGGAGGATATCATATATTCCAGCTGATGTGGCTTCTAGGCATGGTTTGCTAATAACAGCCCACGGAAGGTCTGAGATTAAGATGGAGTCTGGTGAGGCACTTTCAGATGCTGTTTTTGAGGTGGCATCCGTTGCCAGTCTTCATTTGCAAAAAGCTCGGGAGTTGGCTCCAGCGGTTCCCACAGAGGCTCTTCCCGTGCTGCTCCCGGCGGTGCCTGCTCAGGTTCTTTTGGACACTTTAAGGCAGAGGAACTTCAATGTGTTCGATTCAAGGATTTTAGGTGGTGTCCAGGGCGTATCACCACTATGGTATCAGTTGAAGCTAAAGTGGCATGCCTGGAGGAACAAGTATTGAGTTAAGCTCCTGGTAGTCAGAGATTGTAGTTTGAAGCCAAGATTTTTGAGTCTCTTTTGTGTCTCTCTTGGTTGCTGATTTATTCGTCTCTCAATTTTACACCTGGACTAAATAAAATTCATGAATGCCTGATTGATGATGGTTTTTCATCAATCAAACTCACCAGCATTGCTGAATGAGGGTGCAGGATCCAATCTGTCCACTCCTCAGGTATAAAATCTCTACGCTTGTGTTCTTGATTCTGCCTTTGGATTTCAATTTTTATATGGGTACCAGTTTCTTGCAAATAGGTCAGCAAGAATGTTTGGATCTTTAGCAAATGGAAGAATCAATATGACACTGGTCATGTGTTTCACAAGCTCAACAGCATGCCTGAAGGATTCTGTATTAGTCTTGGAGCATTTCCTTGTCTTCTTCTGTTGTAGTAAGCTTTCTGGGACTTACTCTCCCAATAAACAGAACGTTCCAATTCATTTCAAATCCCTTGTAACCCTCCTGCTTGTTCAAGGGTGAAAAAATCACTGAATACTTCCTTTCATCCATGTTTTCCCTCTTTTCTTTATGCTATATACATTGGTTGGAGGTAAAAGCATCTCCATGAGCATAAATCAAATTTATGGTGTATGCTGAGGATGAAGGTCCATTGCTGCTTTATCTGTCTGCACCAACATTGATGCACCTAAACACCAATATTGATCTTGCTACATGCACTGGGGGACAGTGTTAGAAACTTAGAACAGCTTAGATTAAAGAGAAGCCACCAAGGAGACAAGTATCTCTCACTCCAATGATTAATGTTTACTCTCCAAGGAAAGCAAAGCTCATGATGTTTTTGATGTCCTTTATATCCAAATCTTCTTTGCTCGACTCATTTCTCTATAAGCTCAATGATTGCCTTCTGATGAAAAAGGAGATACTTGTATATCCAAATCTTCTTAGCTTTGCTTTTCATGCTTCTGTTGACACAACAGGTTATCCGACGTAATAAGGGATTCGAAATTAATCTCGAGTCTAAGGTTGAGATGTTCAAAATTCGGATGATCTAAATTGAGATTCAACAAGAATTATATTGGGGCATATAACCAACCTATGGACTCATCTTTTTCGTGGTACCATATGATTGACCTGACCTCGTGGAGTGAGTGATCGGTGCCACACTGTTTGATCTAATTAGTCATAGTCCCACATGATATATCAATAATATGGAGATAATGTATCAACCACCATACACGTATCATATCCCCCACATAACCTTCAAATTGAATCGATCAATCAGTTTCTAGAAATCTATTGGATCTTCTTCCCGCGGTTGGGTCCTGATGTTTAGCCATGCAAATTGCGGATCCGGAGTTCGGTGGCATTCGGATCCGATTCGATCAGGTAGCATCCGCACCCGCACCCGCACCCGCACTTGGGATTTTTTCCGTTCGCGGATGTGGACGTGAGTGACGTCCACAAAGTGTTGTTTATTACACACGTGATGTCCACGATGTGTTGTTTATTACACACTACAGTCGAGTAGGGGGAGAGAGAGACAGAATGCCGATGTCGACTACTCAACTCTCTTAGCAACCTATGCCTTCTCTTTCGTGAGGGGAGAGATCTCTTCTCCTCTTTGGTGTTTCTTTCCTTAAACCTTGAAAGCAAGTGACAGAGATCTACTGATCCAATTCCTAGAGGTGGAGGAGGGAAAGCAAAGAAGTAAGAGAAGGAAGGAAATCCCGAATCAATCCGTCGTTTTCTGGTAATTAGTTCTTGGTACCCTAGATCCGATGTCACAAGGAGAGTTGAACGACGGAGGGCTTCTCGACATCCAGCCGTCGGAGCTCCGATTCGCTTGTAAGCGACCGTCACTTCCCTCATTCTTGCCCCTTTTTTCCTCTTTGATCGATAGGTGTTTGCTTATCTGGAATGAGGAATTGCAACATGTATTGGTGGTTATATTGGACTCCATATTTCTTTTTTGCTGATTATGCGTGTGATCTGTCCACTGGTTATGCCTCGAGAAGTCGAGTTGAAGAAGCAGAGCTTATGTTCTTTCCAGCTGACCAATAAGACGGATCAATGTGTTGCCTTCAAGGTATCTCTTTACTCTTGTTTGTCAGGTTGTTGCCTCTATATGTCTCTTTTCTTTCTTTGTCGCTGCATTTCTTCATGTAAAGTGGCAATTGGAATAATTTATCTGTAGTGATGTGTATATTTCTGGCTGTATTCCAGGTTAAAACAACCAACCCAAAGAAATACTGTGTCCGACCCAATGCAGGGATCATTTCACCGAAGTCCTCGTGCGATGTCACTGGTAAACCCTGTTTTAGTTGGATTTGGTTATCAAACTTCAAACACTCGGTCTTACCACATTTGTTACCATGTCTTTGGTGCATTAGTTACAATGCAAGCACAAAAGGAGGCCCCACACGACATGCAATGCAAAGACAAGTTTTTACTTCAGAGTGTAATCACAGAGCATGGTGCGGCGACCACAGACATAACTGCTGAAATGGTTGCTACCTATTTGCAATTCATTAGGATTTAATCTTGATGTATCTTCTGTTGAATCTGTTTTGTACCACTGTGACTTAAAAGTGATAATAGCACTAAATTGTCAGTTCAATAGAGAACCTGGTAAGCTTGTTGAAGAATTCAAGCTGCGGGTCACTTACGTTATGGCTAGTCCTCCTTCACCTGTTTCTGAGGAACAACAAGAAGGATCTTCGCCTAGGTCATCGACATTTGAAGATGGGGCCCAAAGTTTGCAGACACAAGATTCTGTAAGTGGTTGTTGACTGTTGAGGGCTGAGGGCCTTAATATGCTATGTTCATCTTTTGTCTCATATGCGGACGTGGAGTTATCTTGCATCATATGCTTAGTTCACATGACTAATAAAATTTCAGGCATCACTATTGAAGGAACCTTCAAAGGAGAACTCCTCAGAGGTTACTTCTTCCATGCTTAATCTTTCTGGTTTTGGTCTTATAGTTTCTTGAAATTCCTATTGATGGCAAACTTCTGTGATTCATTTGCAATATGGATTTGGCATCCAAAGCTTTATAGACTTAATTTGTACACAATCATGCATGAAGCAAATGTTGAATGCTTTAACAAACAACTGATGACTTGTTGATAACCTAGATCTTTTATTTAGCTTTGTCCTGTGCCTATGATAAACAATTGCCAGAGAAAGCAAGGGGGTTTGACTTTAGTATCCTTGTTCAAAATACCTTCTATGTTATGATGCCATTAGGTTGAACTTGACAGTTGTGTATGCATGTTGATTAGTTGCTTTTGTCATAGAAGTCTCCTTGGTTTCAGATTTTGTTCTCCTTCGGTGGAGATCATCCTCTTGATTTTTGCTTACATATGGAGATTGTTAGCGGTAGGAGAACTAATATTTACATGACAATCATCCATTTGATACTCGTTTACTAAATGCCACTATCCGCTGCCCGTATAATCTATGGTGTCTTATATTATGGATGAATTGTTTCACTATCCTGCTTCACTAAAACCTTATTGATTAGCTACTGCAATTGAGATCGTACCACCATGATGGCTATTTCACCACAGCACCATCATTATGAAACCTTAGAATGAGCTTTGATTTGATTGTAGGCACCACTAGCTATTTACCACTTAGTGAATTTTTGTTACCTTTTACAATATGCAGGCATTTGCTATGATTTTAAAGTTGACTGAAGAGAAAAACAATGCCATTGCGCAAAACCAGAAGCTTCAGCAGGAAGTGGTATGCAATTTAAATGACATATGATATGTGATACCTAAAGGCTAGCATTTTTGTGCTTGTAGCTTTTACAAACTGGTAAATGGATTGCAATGAAATATATGTTGTCGTGCTAATGATTTCATCTTTGAGTCTTGAATACGAATGGACTTCCCTTTTTCTTCTTTGCTTTTTGATTTATTACATTCTCAAATCTCAATAACTTTTGTAATAAGGATAATCAATACATCTATCAAAGTATGAAAATAGTCAGTTCCTTGCATGTATCCATTTAGGCGTATATATAATTCTAAGATACAGAATATGATATTTTTATTAAATTGGATATGAAAGATGAGTTGCTGAAGTTTGAAGTGGATAATTCATGCATAATTAGTAACTGTCTTTTGATGGATTTAATATATTCCTTTGGCTGCTTTTGTTTCAACAACCGGGGAATATATTGTAGAGAACATTTCAAAAGACGAACAATAATTCCAACACAGGAACCATGGAGGCCAAGCAAATATGGAGCTTATTTATGTTGCCTCCAGCATCATCAAAATCATGATTCCTTCAGTTTTATTTAGCCTTTGCTAAGATCATTGAGAGCAACACTTCTTGTCCAGCTTCTAAAAATATAATTAATAATGCACAAGCACCACCTAAGCATTTTGATCTAACACTAATATACTTTGTCCTGTGAGTTCCAAGTTTGCTTTCTTCCCTAGTGTATGATTCATTATAGGCCATAGATATTCAGAGAGTGTAAACAGAAATCTAAAGGGTTTTCATGATACATAACAAAATTGTATATGTTAGAAAATTAAAAGATGATTGTGTATATATCATTTATATGAGATTTAGATTTGTGCTCCTTACTTAGTTACACGATTTTGTATTGAAATAACGAAAAACCATGTCAGTGATCAATAAGCAACTTCAGATGTAAGAGGGCTATGCAACAGGTATTGTAGGCTTTGATCAAGGCAAACCAATTGGTTATCTCTATTGGAACTGTTTGTTCAAAAGCCTTGCTGATCCTTTTTTGCATTTTTCTTTGGTAAATCAAGGTCTCAGTTATCTTGATTTTACCATCCATAGTTTTTTATCATACAAATATTTGTCATGGGATTTGTCTTGGTGGTATTTATCATTTTTGGGCTGAAACATGCATACTTTTCATTATTCCATTTAGAAGTGGCTAAAGGGACCAAACAGATCAAACTGTAACTTCATTGTTGGCTAAAACACTTATTTCTATTTATTACTTCACTAGAAGAGTCCAAAGGAGCTAGCAGAGATCAAGCAATGCCATTTCACTTTGAAATCTTTTAGCTTCCTCCCTCATTTGTTCTGAACAGATGCTTTAGATGGGATCATTTCTCATTATAAGGAGGGTGGTCAAAAAATGAATGTACATACTTGGAGTATTATCTAATTTTGCCATATGGTAAAACTACAGAAAAATATTCATAACAAGAACATTGTCTACATATCTGTTTTCTTACCTTAGCAAACTGAGATGAAGGTGTCGATGAGAATTTGTTAAATATGTGCTAGTTGAATTCTGGAAAGTTGATTTTAGGGAAGCTGGATGAAACAATTATCAGTATTATTATTATTATTATTATTATTATTATTATTTGATAGATAGCATGATATGAAGTTAGATCAGAAGAACTACTTACTACAAATGGTTTGGGTTGTGTGTGCGTAGCTCCATATGATAGTTTTACAAAGAAGGTTCAACTAAACCATTTGAAATGGGATCTGACACATGAAATGAACAACGCAAGCCATTTGGAGATTTGTCAGTGTTGATGTTTAATTTATCTCAGATCACAATTATTGCTGAGAGAGTCGAGATGTTTAGTTTTCACTAGCAGCTCCTGTTCGATTGATGCAAACAAGTTGCATAAGACTCCTAGATTTTATCATGAGACTCGGACTCCTCACTCTATCTTTATCGCAGGATCTGCTAAATAGTGAAGTCAACAGGCACCACATGTTTTTTGTGGTGGTTGGAGCTGTTCTTGCTGCTCTAATTGGGTATATCATCAAGAAGTCATATTACTGAGAGCACAAAATCATGGGGCTACTGCATGTGCAAGGTACCTCGTTGTGGTCTACCACCACCATTCAACAAAAATGGACAATGTGTTCTTCCTAACAATTGGTATTGTTTGTCTTCCATAATTGTGGTGACATATTATGTAGACTATGTTGATTCATTGTGTTTTGGATTGAAATTTCAGTAAGGTGTGAATCTTGTAAGATAATTTGAATGTGATCTCAAACTTCTTTAAATAGGTTGTTTTTCCCTTCTGTTGTATGTGAGTTTTTTTTTTTAGAAATTTAAATGGAACATGCAAAATACCATTTTCCTTTAGAAGAGAGATACAGTGGATGGATACATTGGTATGCTAAGGTTTGCAAATGAAATAAAATACAAGTGCTATCTCAAGGTCTGACTATGTTTATTCTTAAAATCATTTTATCAACATGTAGTCAGTCAGTGTGATAGATCACATGGTTCAAAATTGTTTAGTTTCATTATTAATTATAAATCCATTGTTTAATTTCTTCACCTACCAAATGCAAGATCATTGAGATGACCCACCCCTATTTGAAGATGATCACTTGCTATGCTGATGATTACATCACATTGAGAACAAGAATTAAATAGCTGCATAGGTCAATCATCAGTCTCAAGGACATGAGCAGACAGCTAGAGCAATCAAATTATCACACCATGTAGAGCAGATGTGCTGCCATTGGCTACTTCGATGACCATTTGCGACCATGTCCAGGTCAGTCAACAGTAACTATATATTGAGAAACATTTAGCAAGCTTTTTTTATGTTTAAGACAGTAATTTAGACAAATTGTGGTCGAAACTGTAATCGACTTAATTGCCATGTATGTGGCTATTATAACCTATCCGTATATTGGTTGAATCAGTGAGGTAATTACATCCATAACTTGTATTCTGTTGTGCTAATGTCATAGAGCAAGTTTCACTAGCAAAAGAATTCCTTCCTAATAAATGATAAAAGAGTTTTTGCTTGACAGTGTTCATAACATTGAGAAATATGACCATGATCATTGGGGGATGAAACTTTGTTCCAGGAGAGGATGCTTTTAATAATCACAACTTAGTAATTAGTTAGTACAGTACATCATGACCAACATGCTTTTATCCAATGATGTGTTCCTTTTAGAAATATATGTAGAAGTTGCTGAATGAAATGCAGTAATGCTGCCCTGTCAACTTTTATGCAGTTAAATAACTACAACTATACAACACACAGGAACATGATCTTAAAGAAGGTAATCTAAGCCTTCATTAACTCCTTCCTCAAAGATCTATCTTATGCCATGACAGGGATACATGTCCTGATGTGTTCTTTCTCTTCTCCCAGCAGCACAGGGTGGAAGGACGCAGGCAAAAGGCAAGCATGAGGAACTGGCATTTCTCTTAGGATATTGCTTGAAGCGAAGGAAGTCCTTGGAGGAGAGGAAAGAACATGTCTCCATCCTCCTTTTCCCAGCCACCAAGACTTGGACCATACAAAAAAAAAAACACAGGAACATCAACCTCCTTCAGATAAGAGTTTTCATCACAAACACAAGGAGGTATGTGTCACTTTCCAATTCAAAAAAGAAAAAGGTTAGGAGGTGAGAGAGGCTTGTTAGACATCACATGGGGTTTGATCTAAACTAAGCTAATCTTTACATGTTGTCCAGGTGTCCACATCATGCTTCCATTAAAATAATACCCACTGGCCCTGTGCTTGTCCCCAGTTCCTTCTCATACAAACTCTCCCTGTCCTTTTTCTTAAGCATGGACAGGGTAACGCCCCATATGTACCATGTTATCCCTGTCCCTTTATTACTTCTGGGCCACCACCCTTGTCCCCCGCCCCTCCTTGACCTTTCCTGGTGAGGTGATTGCAGGGCAGATAGCTGAAGATGGCCACATCAATTGAGAAAAAGGAGAGAGGCTGCAGCTACCATTCATGAGAAAGAGATACAGAAGGTATGAATGAAGAAACTTGGAAGAAAGTTAGTGAGATGTAAAGCTGCAAGCTAAAATGCTTGAAGCTGAGGCTACTCCCATTTGCTGCCCAACCAAAAATTTTGAAGATGATGTCTTGCAAACATCTGATTAGATGTAAAGCATTGCGTCACATGAAGCTGGCAAAGCTTTCTTTTTCCCTCTTTTGGGAAGCAGAAGCGAGCAAAAGCTTTTGATCACAGCAGGACACAGAACTCATCAGCTATTTACTTGCAGGAAGGAGACCCACTCCGCATGAGATGAAGGAACATGATACCCAGTATCACATTGATAATGCTCAACATCTAGTATTGTATCAGCCACCACAGTCTCTGTTATCTGACATCCATATATATGATAAATAGTGCTGCATTAAAGCTGAGCAAACACAGGCAGTGAACCAGAGATGAGACCCATCAGATTCATGGCCACAGGCTGGGACAAGAGACAATCCAAAGATTGTGACAATACTCATCCCATCAATCGAGTCTTGATACCTTTCTCCGGAGGTAACGTTGCATCTCACTTCATTACTTGCAGGTTAGACTTTGGCTCCAATATATATGTTTCATCAGCATTTTGTGGCGCGGAATATAACCTTAGCTTTACCATCTTCAAATGCAACTATGTCCATCAAACAACGTTAAGAGCACCACTCTTCAAAGACTGTTATGTGCAAGTCCATATCACACTACTTTCGATATCCAATTGAACAGCATCTGATGTACTTAATATAATGAGAGAGAAGAAGAAAGAATAGCATCTAATGTAGTTCTCGTATCTGGAAGAAAGATTTTGTTCTTCGCCGAAAGGCAGATCAATTATTAATAATCCCAACACAGGTATTGTTACTGTCATGCAAAGCAATGAAGGCCTTCTTCGTTGGCTTCCTTCGTCATGCAAAAAGCTCTCATTTATCCTTGAAATAGTTTTTGTTTATTGACATATTATAACCACCAGTTTAGGTGGCTGATTTATTGCAGGGGTAGAATGGTCACATCGGCGGTCAGATAGAGCCGTCCCCAGCGACTCCCATCGCCACCGACGGGGGCCACCGAGCAAGTGTCACACTGTCGGTGTTCGCTTGTCCCTATCCCGCGTCCGGAGCCGTCCATCTCTCGGTGCCATCACCATCCGACGGCTACGATGACGGGACGTCCAGGGACCGCGGGCCCCGCGGGAGGAACGGCCTCGATTGGCGAGCCCGCGGTCCCGACACATGATGATCACAGATCGCGACCGTCCGATCCCTGGAACTTTATCGCGGGGGGCCTTCTCTCAATTTAAAAGGCGAGAGTACCCTCGTTGCGGTCGTTGATATATCGGCCGAGTTGTCGGATTCTTTTGTCGCGAACGCCGGTTCGTCCGAAACGATACGAACCAATGGCTCGGAATGATAAAGGGAGGGTGGTTTGGCCAGAAAGGGAAGGTAATAATGGTGATCTTTTGGGCATAGGTGAAACCTTTTCCTTAAGCTTTCTTTCTTTAATCTGTTAATCATGGGATTTATAATCTATTTCTCATTGTTATTTGTCAATAATAAGTTTTATTCTGTTATCTCTCATTTGCCTCTGTGTCATGATGGGAACATAAACAATTAGGTGACTGCTTTCTGCAGATAGAGGAGAGAGAGAGAGAGAGAGAGAGAGAGAGAGAGAGAAAGAGGAGAAGCGACTTGACTCCTTTTTCCTTACGGTTGCATGCGTTCGCAGCAAGAGATGGGGGTATAGACAAAGAGGAGGAGGGTACAACAGGGCTTTTCTTCTACGGTTGATCATCTTTTCTTCCAACCACAACCTATCCCATTTGGAGAGAGATTGAGGGATAGAGAGCAACCAGGCGTGGATAAAATTGATATTGGAGGAGGAAAAAAGATGATCTTGGAGACAGACAAGGGGCCTTTTCTCCTCTTCTTTTTGAGATTGGAAATGCTGCATTAGCGTCTGCAACCATCAGCAGAAGAGAAAGGAGCACTATCAACCAATCTCCTAAAGCAACAAACCGCAGATCTCTTTCTCTCTCTTCAGACATCCCAAGATCCAGTGGGATTGCAGGTGGTAGTGTTGCGGATTATTAGATGAGAGGAGGGATGCCCTTTGCTGTCCAAGAGAAGGGAGCTCCTCTGCAGGTCTTAGAAGGAGAAGAAGGCCTCTTTTGGTGTGCTTCTGCTACCGCTGCCGCTAATAACAGTCTTAGGAAGAGGAGGGAGGGGGAGGAAGGATCGCCGCTGGAGCCGCGGTCAGTACTGGAAAACCTGCGAAGCCCCAGCCCGCCAAGCTCCTCCGCTTCCACCGTGTCTTCCTCCCGCGTCGTTAGCGGTGGAGGGCCGGCGTCCTCCGATGGCTCCGCCACCGCCACCGCCACCCACACCCCCACCACATCGGCGGCGGCGGAAGCTGCCCGGAGGGATGAAGGGGCTGCAGACCTCCCGCCCGTCCCCACCGTCCTCGCCGCTGGAGAGGACTGCTCGCTAGGCGGCGTCGATGACTGGGAGGCCTTACTCTCGGAACCGGCCGCCTCCATCGGCCAAGACCAGACCTTTCTCCGGTGGATCATTGATGAAGCCGACAACAATTCTGCTGCTAGAGGCAACGGCACCGGATTGCTCTTCGATCCGGCTTTCGTGTTAGAAGGTGCTTCGGCGTCGGCGGAAACCGCTAGTCCTCCTCCGATGGCTTCCTCTGTCCTCTCTGCCGGTGTACTTGGATCCAAAGGTGCCACCTTTGGGTGCACTCCCAGCCTCGCTCCTCGGCCGGCGAATAGCCTTCCCCTGTCTCTACCTCCGCTGCCGCCGGGAGTCATCTCCCAAGAATCCACGGAGGAAAAGCCCCTCTTCGGTTCGAGCCTGTTCTTTGCGCACCAACAGCAGGCCCAACCCCCGCAACGCTCTTCCTTCTTCCTCCCTTTGAATCATTTCGCCGGCTACCATGAGGGCCAGCCACTGGAGCATCTTGCCCCACCTCCGCGAAAACGCCCTGCCATCGACCCGCTCCCTAGTTCCCACGTCCCTGACCTCTTTCTCCGCCGTAACCAGCCGCAGCAGCTGGGACTCCCTCAGCAGTTCAATACCGCTGCATTCCAGCTTCAACCGGCGCCAGGAAAGCCCAAATTGGCAAACGGAGATGAGGCGTCCGTGGCTGCAAGGCAGCAGCGGGAATTGGTTGACCAGCTCTTCAAGGCGGCCGAGGTTCTCGAGGCCGGGAACACCGTCAGCGCCCGTGGGATATTGGCGCGGCTCAATCACCAGTTCCCCTCTCCCGTAGGGAAGCCATTCCTGCGGTCCGCCTTCTACTTCAAGGAGGCCCTCCACCTCCTCGCCAGCCACTCCCCCCACCCGCACCCGCCTCCGTCGCTCCCAATCTCGACGCCACTGGACGTCATGCTCAAGCTTGGAGCTTACAAGACCTTCTCCGACGTCTCCCCCATCGTCCAATTCGCCAGCTTCACCTGCATCCAACCCCTCTTGGAGGCGCTTGACGGCGCGAGTCGGATCCACATCATCGACTTCGACATTGGGGTCGGAATGCAGTGGTCAGCCTTCATGCAGGAGCTTGCGCAGCGATGGTCCTCATCAATGGCTACCGCCCCATTCCTCAAAATCACGGCTTTTGCCTCCGCCTACTCTCACCACTCCCTAGAGCTCAACCTCATCCACCAGAACCTGTCTCATTTCGCCAGCAGCCTCAACATCCCCTTTGAATTCAATGTCCTTAGCCTCGACCCCTTCGACCCAACAGTGCTCTTCAGAATGTGCTCTGCCATGGATGAGGCTGTCGCAGTAAACCTCCCCATTGGCTCTGCAATTCGTCCACCCATCCCGACTCTCCTACGATTTGTGAAGCAGCTCTCCCCCAAGATTGTAGTCTCAGTCGATTATGGATGTGATCGCATTGACCTGCCCTTTGCCCATCACATTCTCCATGCATTCCAGTCATGCACAGTGCTCCTCGACTCAATTGATGCAGCCGGTGCCAATCAGGATGCAGCTAATAAGATCGAAAGATTCCTAGTGCGGCCAAGGATAGAAAGTGCAGTTCTGGGCCGGCACCATTTGTCAGACAAGACACTACCTTGGAGAACTCTATTTGCTTCTGCTGGATTTATGCACGTCCAATTCAGCAACTTCACTGAGACGCAAGCAGAGTGTCTTCTGAAGAGGGTGCTGGTTAGGGGCTTCCATGTGGAGAAGCGCCAATCTTCCCTTTCCCTCTGTTGGCAGCGTGGGGAGCTCGTTTCGGTGTCAGCATGGAAGTGCTGAATGAGCTTCTTTTCTTACAGGCATGTCATTACAGTTCTTTCTTACCCACCAAGGTCCAACTCTATTTACTTTTGGTTCATGGTAATTCTGTGTAAGCAAAGTCGTCCATTTGCCATGGTATTTTGTTGGATAGTTTCTGTGTCCAAAGGCATTTAACTAACTTAGTGTCTGGTACAGTTTAATGTTTCTAGTTACCTTATGATTATGGACATAAATGGTAATGCCATGGTGTCTCTTTGCATCTCCTTTGGGTTATTGTCATTTTCGATGAAGTAAAATTGTTCGTGAAAAACTTCAGCACTCCAAAAACTTGATCATCTTGCAAACTATGGATTCTATCTCATAATTTTGACAGGTGTTCCTCAGAATGATCATACATCAAAATATGTCAACAGAGTGAAATGTTAGATCATTTGTATTAGTCACAAAATTTAGTGACACCTCAGCTGTTGAACATGACAAGTTACATGTATACAGTTTCTGCAGCTATAAGAGATATGCACTTTATTTCTTGGCACAAGAATCAACTCGGATTTGCCGAAGTCGGTGCTGGTAGGTTTTGCAAGTAGTTTCAAGCCTATCAGTAGGAAATTAAGTTTTGTATATAGCTTTCTTATGTTTCTTTTCATCTATTGCAGAAGGAACACATACTAAGCCCCTATGTACCACTGATGGTGGATTATGTTGTGATACTTCTGGGTGCATCCACAATTGGAAGAACCAGACTTGGGAATGCACACTGTCATCACCTATGTCTAAATGAATGTAGCGTATAAATAACTTGAGTCTCCGGATGACTATTACTGTTAAAGTACTGTCAACTTTTAATCCTTATTGAGCATATCCAAACATGTTTTAACATTGTGGTATTGCCCTATGATCTCATCTATCTGCTTACCTAGCTAATAAGTCTCCGAAATATATGGATCCACTGTATAATAGGTTTGCACTATCACTTTCGGAGTCAAATTCGTCTTTTCATGTAGCCATCATGTCAAGTGTCATGAATTATTTTTGAAGGTTGATGTCATGTTTAACAGGTTTTGATTATGATAACTTATAGATTGGGTATTTGAGCAATTAGATCTGTTCTTATGCGAGAAAATTTCAGTTTCCTATAGTTCGGGTCAGTATTGCTTTGACATTTGTGATGTCCATCTATGACTTTTATATAATTGCTTATTTTCCTCATCCGACTAGAGTGAGAACATATTGACTATATACCAGTTTTTGCTTCTGTCTTATGTTTGCTTCCACCCAGTACACTTTCTTGGTTAAGTTGTCAACAACAGTGGACATGCTCGATGTGGCTGTACTGAGAAAACAAGTCCTTCAATTCTAGTTTATTGCCTAAGGTTGAATCTGATCCATCTTTCTGTGACCTGTGTGGATCACTGTTACCCGTTAAACATTTCATCTCAACACTCAATAGCTTCGCAAGTGAAACAAAAATTATATTACTGTGGGCAAACAACCTTCGTTAAAAACCATCCTCAACATTCGTTACCACACTTTCTTGTGATTTAGTTATGCTTTCTGTCATTATCAATTGTAGGACTCTGCATTATCATTTAGCCTTTGTTTTTTCTGCTTTTATAGTTCATGCAGCTTTATTTCTTCAAATAGAATTAGGACATTAGCCGCAAGAATGTATAGTTATCGAACAGTGTGACCTGATATTAATAAAAAGGTTGCTTGTCAATCATTGCTTCTCAGTTGACTGCCTCTTTCAGTAAAGCTGTTTAACTCGGGTGTCCCTACTGTTTGTATTGACTAATCATGGACATGAAAACTTTTCCGAAAACAATGACTGTTGATGGGTCAGCCCTGTCGATATATACTAAATTTCTTTTCCACAAGGGAACACAAAAACATCACTTTCTGAAAATTTTGATATAGAGTTTGTGTGCTGTTTCTGTTTAGTATTCTGGTATTGCTTCACGATGCACCGGTTTTACAGATAACATTGTTCTTCTGTGTAAAACGTGTCCATGTTAAACATATGCTTGGGTAGATTAGTCATGGAGATAAAGATCGAATTATTCCTGTGGGGATACAGCCTGTCTTTTTCTATGTAGGTGCCTGTCTTTTTCTATCTTTATGTGTCCCACTCTTCAAAATTTCTTTTGGTGTACATAAGCTTTTCTTTCAACACTATCATGTTGATTTTATGACATTGCACTATCATATTTCTGTATGTTTTCCCTTTTTATGTCTCCATAAGTTTGTAAACCTACATCGAAATAGTTGCCTGTTGGCAATGGACCATCAATTGATTTCACTACACATCAGTACAAAGATTGGTATCTAGCATCCATACTCTTTACGAAAGATTTGTGTGGAACAGCATTACTTTGTGAATTGGGCACCGAATATGTTGTCCCCATCATGTTTTTAGTTACATCTTCTTTTCTCAATGGAGAAACCTGTGGACAATCTGAACTTTATGGAAAAATTCCAGTGCTTGTAGCCTTTTGCTTTAGAGAAATCGAATTTTTCTGCTTCTTATTGTGGCTGTGCCAAAGTGTAGAGGATTATTCTCCTAGTAGATGTGCTTGTGTGGTCCTGAATCTGTGAAAGTTGCAAGTAGGTTTCTGTATTAATTGATGAATCTGTTGTGTCTTGAGAATATTTTCTCATCATCATCATCATCTCTTCTCCATTTCTCTAAAATCACCAGTTTTACTTTACTTCACACACCATTTCGTCTGTATTGACTATCAGAGTTGGATGATTTGTTCCTCTGGTTTGGCCCCCCAAAGCAAGAAGGTGGTTGAGTTCTTCCCCTGTGCATCTCCTGTGGACAACAGGATGTAGATATGATGATTTCTGAATGCTGGTAATCATGCCTGTGATAAAAAATCTCTCTTCCAACCACTAACAATAGGTTTGATACTCATTTCTTAATGTTTATTCCTTTGTTCTCAATCTTATTCTTTTATGATATAAGAGATCAGGATTCGAGTTACGAAAATAAATTTCGTTTGCGATCAAAATATATTAGATTTTATATCCGACGAGAGAGATATCTTTTTAAACTATTTTCATTAGCAACAACACATCGATCTTATTTTAATTTACATTATCAGAATATTAAATTATTTATCAAAATATAAATTTAAATTATTTGTCGCAAGATATCATTTTCTTGAAGAAGAATTATATGTTCCCGTGGAATTAATTTGGAAAATTGTTAGAGATATTCGAGAACAAATCGATTTTATGATGAATTCCCAACGAGATATACAGAATTACGATCAATTAAATATTATAAAATCCTGATATTTTTTAGCATCGTTCGGAATTGGATGTCTGTCTATTACCAACACACACAGTAACATCAGATTGGGAGGAAGATGGGAATTACCTCCTGTGTTTGTTTTCCTTCTGAACGCCCATCTTGACTCGATCTCACCTACCGGCAGTAAAAACCTCACTGGTTGAAGTCCCTGCGATCTTCCAACACACCGAAAGAAGAATTGTATGGATGCATGAATCGGTCGAGTACGTTACTTTTCTTCTGCACGTTTAGATCGGGACATGAGATTTTTGTCGTTTGTTTTGGGGTCAATGCTGTTTGTGACCAAATCCAGAGTTGCACACCACCGCGTCATGGATTGCACAGTGTCGGTGGGGCCGCCTCCTTCTTGGCTTCCTGCAGTGGGTGCCATTGTTCTTCTCCGAGCTTGTCGTTGGCGGCTGCTAGGCAGGCAAGACGAGACAAGAAGGACGTGATTTGGAAGACGATTGTTGCGAGGTCGTCACCTCCTCCGCACCGTTGTTATCGGTAACAGTCGTCGTCGTGGAGGCTGAGAAGAGGAAGAAGTGCCGATAGGGTGTACTGATCTCAAGCCATTCGCCCATTGTGATCTCCGAATGCTTGTTCATATAAGCCGATTAATGTAATGATTTAAATGGATCGATTTCAAGTGGTTTTATTGACGTGTAATTTTAAACATAAAAATTATGATTATATTATTTATGTATAAAAAAAATTATTATTAAAAATTAAAATTAAATAATGATAAATCAAATTTATGATACGTAACTTTCGATGTTATTCATGCCTTTGTATCTTTATCTAATGTGTACGGATTTGAAAGCTAAAACGATGTCAATACATAAGAACTAAACTATTATTTTTTTTTTATCTTTCACACACGACTATTATAAATGATAGATCTATGGGATGTCAGGGCGCATGCCACCATGTCGCCCACCACTCTGTTGCTCATCATTACGAATGACACTCGTTTCGATCCCGACGAGTATCACCATACCTTATAAGCCACCTCCCTCGTGAAGTACGACATCACGAAGATGGAGAGCAAGCAAAAGAAGCGATTGAACTAGTCCATACCTCTCGCACCCACTCGCTCTCCCCGATCAGCTTATTAAGGAAGAGGACGCGGTGGAGGTCATAGCAACGGACGAAGGTGGAGAGGTAAAGGTAGTGTAACACTCCCAATTAGTACCACATTGGTTAGTGGTTAAACCAAATGAGAGTTATTGGTTAGTTAGCGCATTAGACTCGGGTCGTAACATTTGGTATCAAAGTCGATCTAATATTTAGGCATAATGAGGAAGCTCGAGTACTATAAAAAATGACTGTATATGTACAACGCCCTACTAGGCAACTCGGTGCTTTCGTAGTCACTTTTACGACGACACCTTCTCCCGCCATTAATGAAGATTTTAATTTTTTAAATTAAATTATATGTATCATTATATTAATGGTTTACTATGAGTTAGTATATCACGTAAGCAGACCCTAATGTTTGTTAACTCAGATTTAATGAGAGAGACTTATATATTACGTTTTTAAAAATATAGGGGTTATTTCAAACACGTAAACCATAAAAGTAATGGCTAAAACTACAAGGGCTAAAATATACCTTAATACTAAATTATATGTATCATTATATTAATGATTTATTATGAGTTAGCATGTCATGTAAGCAGACTCTAATGTTTGTTAACTCAAACTTGATGAGAGAGACTTATATATTATAATTTTAAAAATATAGGGGTTATTTTAGATACGAAAAAACCATGAAGAGTTTAAGAGTTCTATAACCAAAACCACAAGGTTAAAATCAACCTTAACCCCATCTAGAATTATAAAAACATAATATTAGATGAATCATCTCCTAAGCGATAAGTACTAACTATTACCGCTTTAAGATGAATTCCTATAATATTGAATATTTCATACTTTTTTAGCTTTAGTATTTAAGTAAATCTCTATTATTGATAACATAAGTTGAAGTGTTAGTATTAACCTACTAAGTATTAGATAAGGACTTCTGTTACATTTGATTTGAATCATATGAATGTCAAGCTTGTATATTTCCCTTTAAAACCAAAACCTTATGATCCTTTTTTTCATATGATCTTTTTTGTCATAAAAGTAACACTTTATTATGAAATTTTTTTATGAGTTTATATAGCATTTAAAAACATAAATAATTTATGAGTCAATTTTTACTCACTCCTTGAATAGTACCTAAAATATTAGAGTCTTTCGTTACTTTAATCTTGATTCTTTCTAAACATATATATTAGTTAGCTTATTTTAGTTTCATTTATTCAAGAAGCCAAAATACAATCATGATCAAGTCCGATCAAAATATTTGATTAAAAAAATTAAATTAGCTAATTTTATAATTGAATTAGTTAGAAAATTTTAATTTTTAATAGTAAAACTATAATTTTGCTTAGGATATATAATAAAATTATATAATTTGGGTAGAACCATTAAAAAAAATATAAATTTGAATTAAAAGGATTTATAAGGGCAAAAGTATAATTTCAAAAGAAAAAGCCCTAATTCTTTCTTTTTTTACGGTCATTGCACAAGGCATGTGGCTGATACAGTATGCGGTCACTGCTTGTGCATGGCTTAAGGCGGTGGCTATCCTTATATTGTCAACCACGGTTGCCCTTATACTAATGACTAGCGACCTCTTCGGTCACAGTGTAGAGGTCATCGTGTGGTGTTGTCACCGTGCCCATGTGTGGTTGTGTGCACACATCGCTCAAAGACCACAACGAGGGTTGTCGAGAGCATGGCTATGCCCATGCTTTCTCCTAGTGTATCCGTTAGCTTTTGACGTTCAATTGATGCGAGTCACGACTAGCAAATATCGTTACAGCCGTTGCAAGCAACAGGGCTGCTATAGTTACCATAGTCACTACACGTAGTAGTGTTGTTGTAGTCGTCGCAGCCGTTGTAGGCAGCGACTTTACTGTAGTCGCCACACATAGCAGCATTGCTGTAGCCACTTGCGACCAAGGTGGGCTGATTGTTGCAAGGCTATTCCACACAAGCAACCATGCATGTGGTTGCCATCGGTTGTCGCACCCCATGACGCTTCCGTTACGTATGCAACCGTTGCCCGCAATTGGGTTGGCAACTTCCAGAGGTTACTGCCCTCAATAATGCTATCGCTAATAGTAAGTTATCGATAGTGGTCAATCGATCAAATACGAGGAACCTTGCATCACTCTCAAGTAGATGATATGACGGACTAGATAGGAAAGCTGATCGACAACACACACGGATTGTTTAAGTATCGTAAATCAAAATTGAATAACACTTTTTCGCAAGCAAAGGATACTAATAAACTGATCTAAATATAAAGTATATTTAAAATACTTTTATGATTTAAAATATTTGATTTCAAGACATATCTCAGATTGTAAGTATAAAAATCGTGATTATATGACTCTTATGTAAAAACTTTAATATCATAAATTAAAATCAAATAACGATAGATCAAATTTATGATGCATATCAAGTGTACATATATGAAAGTTATAGTGATGCGATCTATAAAGAGAACTAGACTCTTATTTTTCTCTCTTCTTATCATTGTTTTGTCCCTAAGATGTCCTGTAATTAAAAGAGTTCCTCCCATCAAGATCATCTCCTAAGTAATCCTATCATAATTATACTTCCTTTCTATTAGTCGATAATCATAATCAAGATCCAATCATATCTATAACATATTACCTAATTAGATAAAATCATATAATCTAATACAATTAACTTAATTCTTTTTATGGATAATAATAAAAAATGAATGATCATTGTTTCGATGCACTGTGTGTCAGAGGAAGATGAAGGAACAAAAAAAAAAAGACTGAGTGAAGAAGAGGAAGAAGAAAAATGAAAAAAGTTGTGTCAAAGAGAATAGACGAACGATGTTGAACAACAATGACAGCAACATCCAAAGAATAAGGCAAAACAGGTTCTAAGCCCTAACATACAAAGAATAAGGATGATATCGCAATCTAATTTCAAGCGGTTTGCATACCAGTCTTTGTATACCAATCTAATTTCAAGCCCTAACATACAAAGAATAAGGGCAAAACAGGTTCCTATTGTATTGCACGCTAGTGCTCGAGATGGTGAGGAATCGAGTGTATAAATAATTGCTTCTAGTGGCAATCATGCTGTGTTTGCATCACGTATTTTTGACTACATTTCATCAACATCATGAATTTTTCTGCTGGAAGAAAACTATATACATTGTTTCAGATCTCAACTTCGATAACTGAGGTGATACAGAGATCATGAACAAGCACTACACTTTGATCCTAAACAATGTATTATGTGAGATCAAAACGCCCTGTTTGTAGCTGAGCCATTTTCCCTTTGACCTAAACAATGCATATATTTCAAGAACAGGGCTTAAAATTTCTTTCCCTTTTGCCGGTCTCACGTCTTTGATTTCCTGGAGAGTGTCACCTCTCTTCCTTCTCCATCCTTTTCCGCAGGTGTCGATTAGTCATGTTCAGGCAATACTAATCCAGGCAGATCTAAAACTTGGAACATTCAGCTGCAACCGAGTTTTGATGATTTAAACACCAAGGAGTGGTAACACAATCTTGACAAAGGAGTAACAAAGTGCACCGGTGAACACATAGCTGTCGCACCTATCAAGAATACCTCCTGCACATATAAGAAACTTTAAATAGTTTCCAAGTATTCTGTATAAATTGCGAGCTTAGTTGCATGATGTACACACTAAGCATAACAAGAGAAAAAAAGTGTCAATCATATTGAAGGATTACTTCTTTCCTTTTAGTTGTTCAAGATCTTTATAATAATGGGTTCAAATGACAGCAACTGAGACTCTCTAAGCGACAGAAAACATGGAATGGCAATTAGAAAATTGAAGAAAGGCAAGGAACTAGCAGCAGGTGTATCCAGCAAATCATTTCAATCTTAATGTTTTTGATATCTGAACACCAGGATCTATAGAAATTACACCTCATTGCACAGTTTTGTAATTACACCAATCAACAACAAACTTTTTTGGAAACATCGGCCTCAAATGTTATTCAGCAAGGAGTACAATTTTGTAAAAGATGGAAGTGACCAACACATAGTCCAAGGTTTTACTATTCCTGATATGGGTTGTGTTTGTTATCAAGTGACTGATGCACCATCAGTATATCTAATCTGATTACTAAAACCGATGTGATCATCAACAATATGCTCATGCATCCATCAAAATTTTAGGAAAGAAGCATACCATGTCCAGGAATGAGTGATCCAGAATCTTTGACACCAGCATCACGTTTGATCATGGACTCGATCAGATCACCGAACAAAGACCCTGTGAAGTTTAGAACTCCAAAAGCTGAAGCACTGATAACAACAGAAAGTGTTAGCACACTACAACATATTTCCACAAAAGAAACTGTAAAAGTAAGACGATGAATCCAAGGGGTGCAAAAAAATAACAAGATCACAGTACAGAAGTGCCTTTGCCAAGTAACAACATTTTGATCTAGCTAATATTTACTGATTCTAATCATAAATCCTATGGTTGATCCCAAAGCCTTCCACAATTCTGTGAACCTTGCTTGACACTAATTTGTCTTGATGAACTGGATATGTTCTTTTAGAAAAAGCCACGATGACAATGACACTAATCTGCGAACATTCTCTTAGAAAAAGACAATATTAGTGATATGTTCCAACTTCTAAAACCACAAAATTTACACAATTAAGCGACTAAGTACGATCAAAATTATTATTTTACAAATTACAGCCAAGTGAGATGACCAAATGTAACTTTACAACAGAAGAAAAGTTTAGGTTAAAGTTATATATGGAAATATTCTGGAAAATTGTGAACCAACAACTAGTAGCAGGAATGTTTGAGGGAATTCTATACTTTGTTCCAGATACCAATGTCATTTACACATCACTGTTGATAAGTCATTATTTGCCCTCATAAGTACCAACATGCTGTCATGGACTTAGCTAGTTTTGCCTAAGTCGTGCAGCACCCTAACATGTCCATCCACGAAGGGTCACTCCCCGAAACCTCTTATGGTCCCTTAAGGACCTGCAAAAGAGAAGACGGTTAAAGAAGGTGTTTAACTCGGATCTTACAAGTAGACATTTCAGCAAACATTTGATAAACTATACAAATTACACCCTATACCACTCTGCGAAGCTAGAAAACCCCTAAAATGACTGCTTGGATGGCCTATTTTTTTAGTAGTTTTGCCTTTGTGCAACGACTGCACACAACTTGCATTTACAGGACTGAAACGACCAAAAACGCCAACTAAAATGGGGCTGTCAAGCCTACTGTAAGCCCTCTACATTCTGTATAAAGCATGAACAAAACCAAAAGACATAGACATACACAAGCATTACATCGAACACCTTGTTTACAGATTTGTCCGTGACACTCTCCCCCATTATTCCTTTAACGTCCTCATCGAAGCCTTTGTGGATGTTGCATCTGCCTCGAAGCTTCATTCGACTTTGGCACCATGCAAGATAAGTCCGCTCCATTAGAACGAAGGGCTCATGGAACGACATGATTTCCCTCTTGCCTCTGCAAGAGTTCATGTCATTAACCTTTGTCCAAGGAAAACTTCGTGCCTCTGTTCTATGTTCCGTCTTCTACATTGACTCTGTTCATACAGCTTAGGCACATCACCAAGTTCCACCTAAGTTGCTGTACGCCTCGGTTAGCATTGAGTTGAAGATGACCCTTGTGCCCACCATTCCATGAGTTAGCCCTCTGTTGACTCTGATCTTTACATTGGCTGTAAGTATGCCTTCGTTTGGTGTTGTCTAGGGTTGCTCCCCCACTTGATTGTGCAATGCGTCCACCAATGCATTACCTCATGTAAGATCATGCGACGACTCATCGCTGCTCACTCGATCCATTAAGCTTTATGGATGCTTGGTCCTTTGAGTGACTCTTTTTCCTACATCTGTACGCATGTTTCCCCAAACGGTCACACATGCTGGCTGCCCTCAATGCAACCCCGCTAGGTCCCCCACAATTGCATGCCAAGTGTTCCTAGGTGTGTTTGTCCCACTCTGATACCATCTATCACGAACTTAGTTGGCCTAAGTCATGCGGCACCCTTGCATGTCCGTCTGCAAACCTCCCCAAAATCTCTTGTACTATCTGTCACAGACTTAACTGGTTTTGCCTAGGTCGTGCGGCACTCTTACGTGTACGTCCACAAAGGGTCAGCCTCCCCGAAACCTCTTATGGTCCCTTAAGGACCTGCAAAAGAGAAGACAGGTTAGAGGAAACGTTTAACTTGTGATCCCACAAGTAGACATTTCAGGAAACACTTGATAGGCTATGTAAATTAATGAATAGATATGAAAAATTAGCACAACTACTGATTGAAACTTGAGCTTGTACTTACCTCAGGTTGATTGGGCTCTTTTCTGGGCTACATCAAAGAAATTATGAGGCTTATACTGTTGATAGGCTTGGCCTTCCTCACTGATGATGCAGATGAAATTGTGGAACAAAAATTGAACTGTATTCAATGATAATTCGTTCAGATTTGGAGACATGATTCAATAGAATATGTGTCGTAGGACAAACCATTAATTCTCTTTTGCTCAAGCCTAAATCAAGCATTCAAGGAGAATGCTGTGTGGAGCCTCTGTGCCAAATCATTTGAACTTTGCTTACCTGCAGACCCCATGTCACCATGTGCTAATATTCTCAATTAAGATAGATAGCCCTATATAATATAATTAATAAATATAATTATTTAAAATTTTAAATAAAAATATGCTATTAAATTAAGAAAATCTAAGATACAAAATCAAAATAATATATTATTAATCTAATAAATATAAATACTATTATTAGTATACTGTTAACGATATACAGAAGGAGAAGAAGGAAGAGGAGTGTAAGGGGGTGCTAACTGAGAAAAGAGGAAGCGGGAGAGGGAGTGTAAGGAGGCAGTGAGAGCGGGAGCGGGAGCAGCGAGCAGCGAGCAGCGGGAGCGGGATTAGGAGCAGCGATAGCGGCAGCAGTAGCGAGCAGCGACAGCGGCGAGCAGCGGGAGCGGGAGCGGCAGCGACAGCGGCGAGCAGCGGGAGCGGGAGCGGCAGCGACAACGAGCAAGGTTAGGGTTGGGCAGCGATAGCTGATATCGGTGCTTTAGTTGGTTCGATTAAACCAACTAAAGCACCGGAGACCGAACCAAACCTAAAACGCTGGTTCGGTCGCCTGGTTTAACCCAGGCGCTCGCCCGAAGCGCCCAGCGCCTAGGCTCAGGCGAGCGCCCAAGCGACGCCTCTTTAAAGCGCGCCGCCTGGAAGTGAAGCGAGGCGCTCGGGCCTCGCCTCGCCTCGCCCGAACGCCTAGGCGAGCGCCCGAGCACCTTTTTAAATCACTGGTAAATTATAAATATAGACTTTACAAATTTTGAATAGTCACGCGACAAAGGGTTCAAGATGGTCTGCCATGACCAAAAGTCTTCATAAGTGCCCATGACACTGTTGCGAAACAAGGCAGAGAACTAGCTTTAAACACTATCCCAAAGGCCCATCCAGCCATGTGCCACGTGGGTAGTTCTCGGGTGATGCATTGGCTGACACTTCGCACCACTTTGCGGAGCTAAAAAAATCCCAAAACGACTGTTTAGATGATCTATTTTTTGTGTAATTTAGTAGTTTAGCCTCTGCACGACGACTGCACACAACCTGCGTTTACAGGACTAAAACGACCATAAAAACCAACCAAAATGAGGTTGTCAAGCTTACAGCAAGCTATCTGCATGCTATGCAAAGCATGAACAAAAACGAAAGACACAAACATACACAAGCATTACATCGAACACCTTGTTTACAGATTTGAGGGACTTCTATGCTTTGTTTCGGATACTAATGTCATTTATACACCACTGTTGATAAGTCATCATTTGCCCTCGTCAGTACCAATACATGGGTCCATGAAGAATTGTCTGCTTTAGAGTGTGCTTTGTATGATTTTGCAATTTTAGGATGTACCCGAAAAGGTGCCACTAAGGGTAGAGGTCTTGCCTCATGATAGTTGGTTCCCTGCTCCTCACTGATATTGTATTGAACGTTCTTATAAGTACCCTCAGCAGGGGAGTCGAGACCTCTTGGGACAAATGGACCCACGAGGAATTATATATTTTGGGTGGACCACTCATGATTTTGCCCTACTCTTGGACTAAACGTGCTTATCGACTTAATAGTACCCCTTATTCAGCAATATGAATTCCATCTAACAGTGCACATAACAAAGGAAAGGACATCCACAATCTCAGTAATTATCAGCTCATTGCAATAACGTATATGAGAGTTGAACAAAAATATGCATGTACCTCTAGAATTGAACAAGTCAACAACAATAATCAAAGCAACAAGGCAGTCGACTGCAATAAAGGAAGCCAGATCTCCATTTTCGAATGCACATATAGCCATAAATGGCATTGTTAAACTAGAATTGGAGCATGCTCGAGATGAGCCAGCTTGCAGATGTACAAAAAAGGTATCAAGTATATAATAAGAAAATCAATAAACTAGTGTATCATCAATTTATGTGCTTTCTCAGTAGGTACCTTAATAATGTTCTTGGCCAGCATAGAATCTTCGACAGCAGCACGGCAGTCACTATACAGCCAGTTAGACCAGCAAAAACTCCCTCCAAAGTCTTCTTAGGACTAATATGAGTAAGGGGTGTCCGACCAAATGCCTAGAAATTGCAACAAAATACATCTATCATCCTTGTAGCCTCTTAAAATAATAAGCAAGAATGTTATACCAAACATAATAGCTCTTGTTTTCTGCTTTCCAGTGATTTGACATATCAAAGGAAGTGAACATACTAAAATTAACATAGGATATACCATAAATAATCTTTCCCATCCTCAAATATGGCAAGAAAATGAGATGATTCCATACAGAAGTGTTCATTAAGAAACATCTATAAAAGTAAAGGATGACATCGCCTTTGAGTTTGTACTTCATATAACACTTCATGAATTGTAACAAGTCCATCCACTTTATGGACTTCTTGCTGCACAACTTCTTACTTTTATTTCATACAGTACAGCATCGAGATTTATTTATTACTTTCATTTCATAAGACTAAGAGTTTTTTTTATTTTTTATTTCGATTGATGCAAGAAACAAATTCGAAAAATAAAATGAAACATTTGTCTCATCAAGAAGGTAAGACAGCAAAATAAGATTAAAAAAGAGAAAAATAATGTTGATTGGCTCCAATAAGATATTAACCAAAAATCTAGCTAGCATAAGAAATTAGAGAAATAGTTAACTAAATGTAAGTCTAATATAGACAGAAAACTGTTCACTACTAAATTTCAGCTTAGTCAATGTACAAATGAAGTGCTGACTAGAATACAGTTTTAATATGACCAGCAAGATGTAATCATACAGTATGCAATTACCAACCAATGCAAAAATATGCATTAACATAATCAATCTAGTTATGTTTCACAAGTTCAAAAAATTACCCTTCCACCTAAAAATGCAAATGTGTCTGCTGCAATTATGCTGCTGATAGATATCAAGGTTGCAACAAGTCCAACTGTCCAATGAGCTTGCCCACCAAGAAAAACTGGCCATACATGTCCTAATTCTGCCAAAACAGATAAAAAAAAGTAAACAAATTGCAAAATATTTAACAAATAATCAGAAGAGTTTAGATATAACAAAAATACAATTAGGCTCCCACCAGCAACCCTGTCCCCAACCCCCAACCAAAAAAAAAAAGCATTCGGAAAATTAAAAATCCCTCCCTGGCCACCGAGATATGATGGGACCTAAAATCATGTGTCCCAAATAATTGTAGCCCATGTTATTAGTAGAAGACTCATCCAGTGTTATATACAAATTCAACCTATCATCAACTTCCAATATAGGACTAATGAGATGTTTATCTAATAAAGACTTAACATCCTTGTCAAGACCTAATTTACATACCAAAATTATTTCCTAGTAGGTGGTATGTAAGGCTCATGGCTCAATAGTAGCTCCACATTGTGATATTTCTCTCATATCATCTATGAGTAGCATTTTCGTACTTTGGCTCACTTACACATGCATAGTAATAGGTCTGTTTACACCGAACCTTATAGATAAGTCTAGAACTCACACCTTCCAAAATACTTAAACCCAAGTTTTATGCAGTAGGACTATCTAGTCTCAAGCATTAATCTAGCCACCATTAATCCTCAGTATGGAACTACTGGGGCATTAGAAGAAATGCAATAGAACAATACATAATCGTCTAATTTGTATTCAAATCCTTGATGCTTTAAATGGGAGTAAACTTGTCAAATAGCTAAGAGAACTACTCCATGTAGCCTCACAAAGTTACACCACAAATTCCAACTCTGTTTACAAAATAACTAGGTTTATCTTCTGCATGACCAATTATAGTTGAACCCCATCAATTAGTTCCCCTAGTTCTGCTTGTGCATGCTTATTATTGACACTTTTCAATACCAGTCTCAAGACTATAAAAAGGAGAATTGTGTTAACCAGCTGACAACTTGCATAAAACTCTGTCCGATCTTATGAGCTTACACCAACATAGCTAGAAAATGTTGTGACCTTGGTTTCTTTTTGTTGCTGTAGTCCTTCAGTAGCTGGTTATGTTACATGTGCTTTCCCTCTTGATAATGAATTTCACTAGTTCATGCATAACGTGGTGGATGTAAGATTGGTCATCTCTATTCAATAGATTTTTGTAATCTCAGTTAACTCATATGATAAACCTCCTGCCCTTTACTGACATACTACCTTATATAGTAATATGTTTTGCTAACCTCAAATATAGATCAATGGTATACCAATTTCATGATGGACAAGTAGTCTATGGTGGGGTTGACATAACAGTGAGGTAGCCGATAGAGTCCAAGATATCAAAATCACAGATAAGATCAACATCATAATCAAAATACATGGAAATGAAAATAACCATATAATAATTACCTCTGAAATACATAAACTGTCAAAAAATTATTATCAACAAGTAGAGCACAGAAACACAACCATCGTGAAATCACATCCTAGTTTAGCTATGAAAGATTTTAGTTCATGGTAGATTGATGTTATCACAAATAAATGTTATGAAAGTTTAGCCATGAAAGATTGATGTTACTGTGGTTATATAAGTGTAATATATTATCTTTTGGTGTGTATGTTATCACAAATAAATGTTTCAGCATAAGTTCAAAAATTGTTTCTTCTAATATTTAAGGTTGCAATTCTTGTCAGGCGAGAGTGAGTTAACATGTGGTACTGAACATACCAAACCCTATGAGTCAATCTTGATATCTTACCCTGGTCTGTATAGTTTGTCTAGAAAACCCAAGTATAATAATCCACCAAGAGGGTGGAAGAATAGAAAAAAAATTCTCTTGTAAATCTAGCTAATATAAATGACTATTGGGTTAGCAACAATACGAAACATGGTTAAGCTGCCTTGAAATCTTACCAGGTTTAGATCAATTATGGATTAGGGAGCCAGCATAAGCAAAGGGAACAACTTGCAATATGTATTGCCACAGTCAAATATTGAAACAGCCTCGAGGTACATATCATGTCGTTTTGTGTATTGAATATACAAGTGAATGACAATGTGAATCAGTGAATATTATACCAAGGAAATGAATTATATACACCGAGACACACAGCATGCATAAATTTTGTTACACAAGGATCCTGTCATGTGGTCTCACACTTGCTAGCATGGAGACAGGATGGTAGGATTGCAATATCTTGGCCCATAACTAGGACTGGTGCATGCACTATACTTTAGTCAAACAAACAATAATCCTCATCTTCTACTAATAGGAACCATGACCAAAGAGGCCCAATGAGGCACCTGTTGTATAAACCAGATTGTTGGATATTCACATTTGAAGTTAACAAGAAGCAATTTTTGCTTGCTCTTTCATATTACGGGTGGTTCTAATATGCAGACCATTAAAGTGCAAATATGGAATATGGTTGCTGCTGATACTTGTTAAGCACAACACAGGATCACAATTCTCAAGCAAAGTAATAAATAAGGAATTTAAAAAAGAAAAAGAAGAAAGGGTAATGACATACTCGTGTTCAATGCAGGAACTGATAGCCCACAACGAAGCTTAATCCAGAAACAAGGAAGATAACCACAGTAAAAAAGCCCAAAAACAGCACTGCTTAACTGTGCAAATCGTGGATTTCCTCTCTGAAGTATTAGTGCCATTGCAACAATAAAAGCAGATGATGTCACCGAAACATCTATGTGACCAAAATACCTACCATCATAAACCAGATAGATAATTAAAAAGCAGTGATATGTTATGCAAAATGGCGCATATGCTTAATTTTCAACAATCATTTGGACAGAAGAGTACTGGAAACAATTAATAAAATGATTAAGGTGTAAAGAACTTATAGCATAAAACTCAGTCAACGTTACTTAGTAACAGAAACAATGTTGATTGTTTATTGGGTTTGAAAGCTGTTTATGACAAACTGAGAGATAAGTTTTAATTTAATTATCACTCAAAGAAAGGATTGAATCAATAAATACCAAAACAGTAATAATCTAGAAGGCAATCAACATAAAAAAACTAATTAGATGTACTTGCGGATACATTATGGATGTTCCTAGGAGGTTTTTGTTTTAAATAAAATTGATCCTACTAACAACTGATTTTAGAACGGTTGTTTGATGCTGATTATTGTAAACAAAACTATAATGATAATTTTTCCATGCGCCTTTCACATTTTACATAAGTTGATGCAGTCTTCTGAGCATCTTAGGGGCATTAAGTTATTAATGTATCTTCAGTCTTGATGAAAATGTCACGAGCGCTCGTTAAATTTTTGTCATTTATCATTTATATCTCATACGAAAATTAGTCATATGGGCCATTATATTTTCAACATATCACCCATATCTTAACGTCTCTTACCTTTTTGAAAAAGTGATGCATCGAGGTGTTCATATTGTGTTGAATCAATATCCACGCATCATAGAGAAAACAATAAGATGCACAAATTTTAAATGAAACATATGCAATGCCCTTGACAACTATTCAGTTTTTAAGTCCCACATGAAGCAATATAAATCTTATAGTATTTCAGTCCTTTTTACTAGCTAGATTGATTTTGACATAGAATGTTTTTAGTTCTCAAGTTATATGTTTGTTATGTCGCATACTCCACCAGTTTTTATTCCAAGATGCCTTTCGCAGGTATAGGATGATGACGACGGAAAAACTGCTACTTCAAACCTAAAGACTGAAAATTTGGAAATATCTCCTTTAAACTTATAGGCAAAAGATAAAAAATTAATGCTAAATAGAGCAGGAAATGTAATTAACACGGAATAAGGAAACAATAGAATAAGTCCAGCATAATAAGGTTTTGAAGTGGTCAAATACAGATAATGCATTCAAGTAAAAACTAAAATGAAGCATATATATAAAAGATTCAGTATAGGGCAAAATCATTTTACCTGAAACAGATTAACCAAACCAAAATTTTGGATATATCAAGTGAGACACCACAACTATAGAAGTTTAGTTATTAGCAGCTTAGGAAATCAGCCAAAGAATCATTTTTTTATATTCCAAACACTATAGGAAAGAAGTAATTACAAGACGCTAAAGATTTGGAACTTACAGTGTCAGAATCGGCATGAGAGCACAGATGACTGAGCAAACCCTCGACACATATCTTGGCGGCGGTGTCATCCCTGAAGCAATTCCCCGACTCCGGACCAGCTCGAAGTACTCCCTCGCCCCGGCGAACACTGCGGCCGCCAGCGCCACGGTGAACACCCATCCTCCTGCCACCACGACACCTCCCGCACCGAATCCAATGCCGAGGCCAAAGATCACACGCTTCCTCAGCTGCATCCCCTGGCTCCCCTTCGGCTCTACAACCACGGCCTCTACTCCCTGCATCGTGGAACCAATAAATCCAAAGATACCCCACAAGAATTCTGATCAAATCCGAAACCTTTGTTGGCGGCAAGGGCACAAGAATCACCTCAAGAGAGTCCTCGCGGTGGGAGCCGGACTTCGAGGCCGCTTTGCTGGAGGGGACCAAGGTAGCGGAGAGACGGCAGGGATGGAAGAGGCGCAGTCCGGGAAGCTGGCGGCGAGGGAGGAGGAACGATCTGGGGCTGAGGGAGAGGGGCAAGGAGAAGAGGCCGCAGCGGTCGACTTCAAGGAAGGCCGCCGCAGTGGCAGCCATCGAAAGAGAGTCAAGGAGCGAATCAGAATAAGGGCGGTTGCGATGGCCGAGAAGGCATTTGAGGCGGGGCGGCGGGATCCCGAGGTGTGGAGGAGGTTATCCTCCTCTCCCGTCTTCCGCTCTGGGTTACGTTACGGGGGCCGGGCGCAGATCTGTTTGTGTTTTCTTCTTGTTTTTGTTTCTAGAAACATAAACCTTTTGTTTTTGTTTATGTTTCCGTCTGCGCATTGTGTATCGGTACCCGTTTCCGTCCCCATGCGAACCATTGCGTCGAGTCGATCACGACTTGTAAGCAGCGTTTAACCAACTCCCCATATCAGGAGACTTAACTAAAATCCATCAAATTGATCTTAAATTAGTAAGTAATATTACACTTGAAATTGGAGTGCCACAGACAAATTTTGTGTGTAAATCTCGATCAATAACAACAAAAAATCCAAATTCTATGCTGCAAAAAGACATTATGTGTAAATTCACAGATGTACTAATAACATGTAATATTTTAGATATCAATAAGTTCCTGGTCAAAGTCCAACGTGGAATCAGAATCCAATCCAACAATTTAGCACGCTGACTTAATTCAATGAAAGCCATAATGTCCAAGAGCTCCACGGTAGCTTCCATAGGGTGTCCGTATCAAATCAATTCAGAGAACTTGTACAATTCATGCGTCCACCTACACAACTGGCTGCAGAATCTATAGCTCTCCTCGCCCGACCACGGGTTCGCTTTGCCGGCCCTTTCTACTCTTCCACACAGTCGGTTTGTGCAGGGCCTCCGGGGGCGCAGGTGCAGTCTCGTCCAAGTTAGGTCCCTCATGGCCGAGGCTGCCTCCCTTCGGCACGTCGCGATGAGAACGTCTCCGGATATCGAACTCTCGTGGGCGGAAGGAGCACCGGGAAGATCCATGGCGGCCAGCTTGTTCAAGGTTTTGATGCCGAGTGGCTGCGTCTCGGGGTCTTGCAACAAGATGATGCCCAGGGTGTACGCTGCGACTCGATGGCCACCCTTCATTGCCTTGTGAAGATGGTGCAGTCCCAAGCTTTTCCTTCTTCGGTTGTAAATTTCATCCTAGAAACCAACACGATAAGAGGAATCAATGTGATACAGCTACACAGATTCTTGAAACAGATTGATGCTAAGAGGAGGTGAGCGGGGCGTCTGAGCTCACCAGTCCAAGGAAGAGGCTGGCTTCAAGATTGCCGCACTCAGCGCAGCTCCGGAGGAAGGCGAAGTAACCCTTCGCGTCCAGCCAATGAAACACACGCTCTCTCCTCACGGGCATGCACTGGCCAACCTTCCTC